TATATATATATATATATATATATAGGGATATATATATATATATATTTTTTTCCAAGCGTTTTATTATCACTACACTGTCACAAGTACAGCGCAATGAAATAAACTCTGCATTTAAGCAGGGGTTAAGGGTCTTTTTGGACCTGGAGAATTCTGATCTGGAGAGTCCTTTCTTTTGTCGTTTTATTTGAATAAACATTTTAATCTGATTTTCAGTAGGTTTCTCTCCCACCTCTTTGTACATGATGGAGTATTAGAAGAGACTCAAATGTTGACTTGACGTCAGAGGTTTTATGCTCTGGCGTGTTATGCTTCAAAGGTCAGAGAAGTTCTTGCTTCATCCGGATGTTGTTTTTTTTATTTGTCTTTGTCTGCAGAAAATGATGCAACAGAGCTGCAGCCTCTTTGAAGAAGTGAACAAACCCTGCTGAGAGCCTCCGTCCTGCAACACAAACCGCCTGCATTTAAGCCTGGACACTTGTGTGCAAACGTTAGCCATGCACAGATTTTAACTGAAACTACTGAAAGCTGCATCAAAAAGAAGAAAAAACTGCATCATGTTTACATTTTGAACTGAATGCGTTTGTGTGGATGGCTCTGGGACCATGTAAATACAGCCACCATGACAGTGGAAGAACAATACAGCCCTTATTTATTGTAAAATTAAAAACTAATGTGTGACTAACTCAGCTGTGGTGACTTTATTTATTTAAGTTTCACTTTTGATAACAGAAAAAATATATAACAAAATATTGAGATGTGGATCTGAATGGGAGAGTTCTTGCTTGTAACATGTAGAGGTTTGTGTTTGGAAGCTGATCTCCCTGCAGGTAGAAAACAGTTTAAAAGTCAGTAAACAAATAGGCTGCATCAGGACTCGGCAACCTGTTCGCCTTTCATTCAAATCTGTCAAAAAGCCGATTCCTCAGTGCAGGAGGGCTGCCGTTTCACTCCACAGTGCTTTAACTGGAGTTGGTGAGTGGGAGGGAGACACATCGGCGTTCCGGTCGACGACACGCAGTCCGAACCCGACCTAAGGACATGGCGTCAGCGCAGCCATCAGCAGCTCCATCTTGTAGACGAAGTTGCGTCCCTCCATCTTGCTCCAGTTCACCTCCTTGTACGGCCCCCTGAGCTGACTCCACTTGGTGTCCTGGACCACGTCGCTCTTGGGCAGATCTTTGATCTGGCTGCGGGGGAACTGGACCAGAACCTTACAGCCGCTCTCTGGGCCGTTACGCACTGAAAGACACAGAGGTTTAGGTTTCATTTCAGACAGTTTAAAGCAGCTCAGGCTTAGTTTGGTTAATAGACATCAAGCATTTGCAGGGAGGCGCCTGAACGCCGCCTCAGCTTGCATCGACCTGCCCTCTGATCTGACTCCTCCCTCTCCAGACCTCCTCGCCTGCCTTCATTCAGGATGCAAACATTTCTCTGAGCATTTCTGGTTGCTGTGAACCAGCTTTACCCTGCAGGGCGCTGATGCTTCTCCTGATGCTAAAAACAAATCTCATTTTTCCTGATTACTTTATGATCAAATTAAATCCATTTCTAGTTCTAATTATGGAAAGAAGCAGACAAAGAGGTTATCTTTTAAAGTCTGATAACTCAGGGATTATTTTTCTGTTTTCTGTCCAAACATTTAGATCATTCATATCAACTCCTAGTGAAGGTGTAACCAATTAAAAATCAGCCGGGTGTGAATAAAGAAAATCAACCAGTAAAGGTCCGGAGACATTTTTAATTATTTAATTACTTTAAACAGAATTTAACACTGAAATAAAATAATTTTTTTCCTTTTTAAAATCTAAATTGTTTTTGAAGTAGAAAACAACAATATTTTAGTTTGGTATAGACAATTTCCTGACTCACTTTTTTAATAAAACCTGAACTGTTTTTTTTTTTTTTTACCCTTTATTCTGTCTTAATGTTGGCAGTGGGCTTTATGCTGCCCTGCAAGGCTTTAAACCTGGGTTTGAATGGAGACAAAGTCGTTCTTAAGCACATATGAAGGAGCTCATTTTGAGCCTGGATCCATATTTATTTTTGATTCTGTTCATGGTGGAGAATCGTGCTTCACAGCAGCAGGTTGAGCCAAACATCCTCTAAATGTTCAGGTTCATCTTTGAGCACCATTTCACTTTTCTTTCACAAGTTCACCACAGTTCTTCCAGCACTCCACACTTTCTTTGCTCTTTTTCTCATCATCTTCTCCTTCTTTCCCATCGCCCTGCTTGCCACAGGTTTGCCTGCTGTGTCTAAAAGTGGCAGCAGCAGCAACCCAGACTGACAGCAGCTCATTGGCTAATTTGTATCACATGTAGCCTGGTGCCAGCTCTTCTTGAGGACTTTTCCATATTAACAGGAGATGCGGCGCAAGTGAAGTTAGACACTGCTGTCGAACATCATGCGGTAATTTATAAATGTTTTACATCTGGTTGGGTCCAGATTAGCCAGCAGGTGGGCCTGGATCCGGACCCTGGTCCACTAATCCCTGACCTCTGCACAAGAAGTTCAGCAGATAAACAACAGATGCCACCTAGTGTCTAAAAAGGGAAAAGCAGCCATTGCAAAGGTTCTAATGAAGCATCAGATTCTCACTTCCTCCCTAATAATAAACGCCACTATTCTCTGTCCTTCCAGTTGGCTTTCCTTTTCCCTGCTTCACATTTTAATGGTTTTTAGATTTCCTCCAGAAGAACAGGTTATATATATATTTTTTTAGATACACACATTTTCTAATTATGCAAATGTCTTTTTTTAATTATTCAATTAAATATTTTTTTTATTAAGTAATCTGATTAAATTATATTTCAAATATCTCATAATCCAGATTTTTGACACTTAAATAGTTCAGTTTTTGCCTCCTGTGCCAAAGTCCACCATGAAATGATACAAACCGCTGCTGTCTTTTTCTAAATAAAGTCACATCTGATTGGTTAACCTGCTTACCTTTTCTTTAAGAGATTCAAGTTGTCAAGCAAAGAAGTTGAAAAATATGTATTAAAATAATTGATAAACATGAAAGGTTTACTCGTTAAATAATCCGTGAGAAATATTTATTTTTTTGTTGCATTTCCTGTTTTATACAAAAAAAAAAACAAAACAAAACAAATCTTCCAATCTCAGTTACGAGAGTTTCCATTTTATTGAATTGTGGCCCTGTTGGCTTGCCGTAGCTGCTGTAACCTGAGCTCCTTATATCCTTTAGCAGCTATGGTTCTACAGTGGTGTCACCTCCAGGCTAGAACCTTCTATGGAGGTCACCAAACTGCAGCTATAAGTTCTACAAACACATCCAAACATTCTTGGTTCTGATCATGACCTGTGGACCCGAACAGAAGCTGTATAGATGTCAGCATCGCAGGACGCAGATGAGAGAGATCCCGCTGTTATCTAAGTTGAAGTGATGCAGCCAGAAAGAGGATGGAATTAGAGTTCTGAGTGATTTCTGTTTAAAGTCTCACCTGAGATGGCGTACTCTCCGTTGGGTGAAGCGACGGTGATGGCCGAGGCGTTCCCGATGCTCTCCACTGGGCCCAGTCCCACATGGTTACTGAAACTCAGCACATGCCAGCCCATGACTTTAGCCAGCTGCTGCACGGCGTGGACCTGATGCTGCGACATCTGAAACGAGGCGGCATATAAGACGCTGGGATCCAAACTCCACAGCGGAAACAAAAAAAGGAGGTATACCTGTGAGAGGAGAAAGTCCTGCAGCTCCTGCTCCTGGTGGGACAGCGTGACGACTCGTCCGTCCCTGTGCACCACCCTGATCTGCTCCACACCGATGTTGAGCTGCAGTTGGATGGATCTAAACACAGAAAGGATGGTTATATGGGAGAGGTGACGGACGAAGCACAGGACGCCTCCCCAGCTGGTCCACTCACTTGCAGATCTGCTCATAACCATGAGAGGTGATGAGCACCTTGACGCTGGACTCATAAACGTCGTTGATGTTGGACCAGTGAGCCTGGATCTGAGGGTCTTCGATCCGGCTGGCTAAGCTGTCGATGGTCCGGGCCGTCCTGCGTGGGAAAACACACAGTTAGCCGCTAACTTCCCCGCCTGCTGGTCGATGTTCGTACAGCAGAATAGTTCTTTCTGATCAAAGATCTCTTTCTGATGCCGCTACCTGCTACGGAGGAAGATGTGTTTGGCCTGTTTGATGATCTTCTCCAGCAGCCCCTCGTTCTGCTGCAGGTTGGCGATTTCCGCCTTATCGTAGGCCATCGGACCGGCCAGGCGCAGCCGCTTGTGGCCGAACGGGGCGCTGGCCGGATGAGGCATGACCACCGAGCTCAGCTGCTGCTTGTGGAACTGAAACGGGAAACCGGCTATGATTGTAAATATCGAAATCATTTGTTTGGGGAAGCGGTGTTTTTACGTTCGGCTGGGTCCGACGGAAACAAGCGAAGGCTGTTTGCCGTCTCACCTCTCTCATCATCTGATGCAGATTGTGTTCCAGTACGTGAAGATGGTCGTCTGGTTTGGGTTTCTCTGGAGAGGCTCGGTTGCTCTTCTTCTCTCCAGTTGAGTGGCACAGTGAGATGGAGAGCTGAAGGCCTGAGAGATTAAAGATAATTGGACAAAAAAAACCAAAAAGATTGAGTTTATACACAACCTCTTTGGTGAGACCAGGTTACCATATAATATCTGGTTATTTATGATGTCTTATGATATAAAGGAGGATCTGCCCCACTAAAAAGGCGCACACACCTCCGCATTGTGCATATGGCCTGCTAGACCATGCAATCTGAATTTTAATCAATTAATGTGTTATTTATGCTGCCAAAGAAAAGCTTCTGTGTTTTATCTATGCTGCTGATTAACAGATGAGGCTGAAACTGACAGTAGAGGTGCAGAAAGCAGCCATACTTTTAGGAGAATTCTGAGGAATATAAGCAAACATTTAAGTGTAATGTGATAGTGATTATAGGTTTGCTGGGTGATCAATAAAACAGCTGGGATTATCTTATTTGATGTTACTCTATGAGGAGCAGCCTCCTCCACTCATGCTCTCCCTGTCTGATGTCCTCAGCAGTCTCACCTGGGAAAGGCTGGGAGATGATCTGGTTCTTCACAACAATGTGGGGAATCTGCGATTTAATCTGAACCGCTTCTCTGGAAAGCTGCGCGAAGATCTCCTTACAGAGCAAAACGTTCTGAGCCGCCTCCAGCTTGATGTGCCACGGCTGCGCTCCTGAGGAACGACGAAGGAGGCGGGCGTCAAAAAAAGGCAGAAATACATTTTTATTTGGTTTTTTTTTAGGAGCTGCTTGAAGAACCAGACCTGCTTTGTTTTTCTGAGGTCTCCTAAACAGGTTGACGGTTCCAAGGTCACCGATGTCTGGTGCTTGTTTCTGGATGGACACCTGAAGACAAACGTCGGCTTTTCTTTATTTCATTTCCAATGATATTCACCATTTAAAATCCAATCATACTGGAGGATCAGAACAAACCTTGATATAAGCAGATCCTTCTAGGTCACTTGGAATCTGGACATCCAAGGGACAGTAGTCCTCTGGGAGCTTTTTGTCCAGATCAATGTCAGTGTTTTTGATCACCTCGAATGTGCCGGGGTGAGGAAAAAGGGAACCTGCATGATTTCATTATATGGTAGAAAATTAACAACAATTTTTGCTCTAAGTGAATTAAGTACAGTAATGTTTCTGAACTTTTCCTCACCTGCACTCCGGTAGCTGAGGTCTCCCAGGATCTTGTCTCCAACTTTGCGAAGTTTCCACTGAGATCGGAGTCGCAGCAGCTCAGAGTTGAAGTCGCGCTGCCTCCGGTTCTCCTGGTTCTCGGCCACCGACTTGCTGAGCTTCTCGGCTCCTTTCAGGAGGAGCTGTGCCGCTGTGGCCAGCGATTTCTTTTTGCTGATCAGCTGAAACACCTGCTGCGTCTGCGGGTGGAACATCAGAGGAAACCAGTGAGAAACCTGAAGCTTTTATAGTAATCAGAGGAATCAGATCTGGACCGGAACACAGGCTGTGCTGAAAACGATACTCTTAGCTGCCGAGTATCAATAAGGTGCTTAAAGGGAAGTTAGAGAAAATAATGAGGTAAATGGAAACTGTGTTTTTCATGCAGCTGCACAGGATTAAGAAAACAAACATTCTTATAATTCAAGTCTTTATCTACTTTATTATTTATCTAAAGGTATAGAGGACAATCTTTTATCTTCCGGGTGGATCTAGGGAATTTAACTCCCTAGATAATAATTGCACACATCAGTTTTTTGCATTTATCTCTGTTTAAAATTGATCCTCCTGCTCCACAGATTAATTACTTTCACCAATTTCCTCTGCTTTTCATAAGAAGGTCCAAATGCATTTGTTACTTCACAAAAAGGGTTTGATTTTTCACTCGGTACGCTTCCAGATGATTAATGCCGGTTAATTACTGGCTTACAATTTGTCAGACAAGGGGAATATAGTGGGAAAATAAATGAAAAAAGAAAATGTAGCAGAGCTCTCCACGCAAAGCATTATGGGATTTGCTGTCACAGATTTAAACATAAATCTTTTTGAGTTTTTTGTTATGGTTTCGTTTTAACCTTATGCTATATAGAGCATAATCTGAAGAAAGAAACAACTAAAATCCAGATAAACATGGTTTGATCATATTTTGCTGCTCTGAGCATGTCCCATGATGACGTCAGAGAAGCACTTTAACGAAGAAAATGTAAAAAACGGCGAGGAAAAATAGACTCATGCATGCTCTCGCATGCGCATTTAAAAAAAAAAAATTTTTTTAATTTGCGAAAATCCTCCACAATACTTTTAATGTTACGGATCAGAACTACAACTACCTGTTTCAGAACTACAACTCCCATATCAGAGCATCAAATATGGGAGATGTTACAGGGATATGTACCTAAGGCTTTTAAGGTTGCTGTAATTATAAACCTTTACCTAAGAAACCGTCTCTTGACCCAGATGACTTGGTCAATTATAGACCTATATGCAAAATTCCTTTCTTGTCTAAAATTCTTGAGAAAGTAGTTGCCAAACNGGACCCTGGTCCACTAATCCCTGACCTCTGCACAAGAAGTTCAGCAGATAAACAACAGATGCCACCTAGTGTCTAAAAAGGGAAAAGCAGCCATTGCAAAGGTTCTAATGAAGCATCAGATTCTCACTTCCTCCCTAATAATAAACGCCACTATTCTCTGTCCTTCCAGTTGGCTTTCCTTTTCCCTGCTTCACATTTTAATGGTTTTTAGATTTCCTCCAGAAGAACAGGTTATATATATATTTTTTTAGATACACACATTTTCTAATTATGCAAATGTCTTTTTTTAATTATTCAATTAAATATTTTTTTTATTAAGTAATCTGATTAAATTATATTTCAAATATCTCATAATCCAGATTTTTGACACTTAAATAGTTCAGTTTTTGCCTCCTGTGCCAAAGTCCACCATGAAATGATACAAACCGCTGCTGTCTTTTTCTAAATAAAGTCACATCTGATTGGTTAACCTGCTTACCTTTTCTTTAAGAGATTCAAGTTGTCAAGCAAAGAAGTTGAAAAATATGTATTAAAATAATTGATAAACATGAAAGGTTTACTCGTTAAATAATCCGTGAGAAATATTTATTTTTTTGTTGCATTTCCTGTTTTATACAAAAAAAAAAACAAAACAAAACAAATCTTCCAATCTCAGTTACGAGAGTTTCCATTTTATTGAATTGTGGCCCTGTTGGCTTGCCGTAGCTGCTGTAACCTGAGCTCCTTATATCCTTTAGCAGCTATGGTTCTACAGTGGTGTCACCTCCAGGCTAGAACCTTCTATGGAGGTCACCAAACTGCAGCTATAAGTTCTACAAACACATCCAAACATTCTTGGTTCTGATCATGACCTGTGGACCCGAACAGAAGCTGTATAGATGTCAGCATCGCAGGACGCAGATGAGAGAGATCCCGCTGTTATCTAAGTTGAAGTGATGCAGCCAGAAAGAGGATGGAATTAGAGTTCTGAGTGATTTCTGTTTAAAGTCTCACCTGAGATGGCGTACTCTCCGTTGGGTGAAGCGACGGTGATGGCCGAGGCGTTCCCGATGCTCTCCACTGGGCCCAGTCCCACATGGTTACTGAAACTCAGCACATGCCAGCCCATGACTTTAGCCAGCTGCTGCACGGCGTGGACCTGATGCTGCGACATCTGAAACGAGGCGGCATATAAGACGCTGGGATCCAAACTCCACAGCGGAAACAAAAAAAGGAGGTATACCTGTGAGAGGAGAAAGTCCTGCAGCTCCTGCTCCTGGTGGGACAGCGTGACGACTCGTCCGTCCCTGTGCACCACCCTGATCTGCTCCACACCGATGTTGAGCTGCAGTTGGATGGATCTAAACACAGAAAGGATGGTTATATGGGAGAGGTGACGGACGAAGCACAGGACGCCTCCCCAGCTGGTCCACTCACTTGCAGATCTGCTCATAACCATGAGAGGTGATGAGCACCTTGACGCTGGACTCATAAACGTCGTTGATGTTGGACCAGTGAGCCTGGATCTGAGGGTCTTCGATCCGGCTGGCTAAGCTGTCGATGGTCCGGGCCGTCCTGCGTGGGAAAACACACAGTTAGCCGCTAACTTCCCCGCCTGCTGGTCGATGTTCGTACAGCAGAATAGTTCTTTCTGATCAAAGATCTCTTTCTGATGCCGCTACCTGCTACGGAGGAAGATGTGTTTGGCCTGTTTGATGATCTTCTCCAGCAGCCCCTCGTTCTGCTGCAGGTTGGCGATTTCCGCCTTATCGTAGGCCATCGGACCGGCCAGGCGCAGCCGCTTGTGGCCGAACGGGGCGCTGGCCGGATGAGGCATGACCACCGAGCTCAGCTGCTGCTTGTGGAACTGAAACGGGAAACCGGCTATGATTGTAAATATCGAAATCATTTGTTTGGGGAAGCGGTGTTTTTACGTTCGGCTGGGTCCGACGGAAACAAGCGAAGGCTGTTTGCCGTCTCACCTCTCTCATCATCTGATGCAGATTGTGTTCCAGTACGTGAAGATGGTCGTCTGGTTTGGGTTTCTCTGGAGAGGCTCGGTTGCTCTTCTTCTCTCCAGTTGAGTGGCACAGTGAGATGGAGAGCTGAAGGCCTGAGAGATTAAAGATAATTGGACAAAAAAAACCAAAAAGATTGAGTTTATACACAACCTCTTTGGTGAGACCAGGTTACCATATAATATCTGGTTATTTATGATGTCTTATGATATAAAGGAGGATCTGCCCCACTAAAAAGGCGCACACACCTCCGCATTGTGCATATGGCCTGCTAGACCATGCAATCTGAATTTTAATCAATTAATGTGTTATTTATGCTGCCAAAGAAAAGCTTCTGTGTTTTATCTACGCTGCTGATTAACAGATGAGGCTGAAACTGACAGTAGAGGTGCAGAAAGCAGCCATACTTTTAGGAGAATTCTGAGGAATATAAGCAAACATTTAAGTGTAATGTGATAGTGATTATAGGTTTGCTGGGTGATCAATAAAACAGCTGGGATTATCTTATTTGATGTTACTCTATGAGGAGCAGCCTCCTCCACTCATGCTCTCCCTGTCTGATGTCCTCAGCAGTCTCACCTGGGAAAGGCTGGGAGATGATCTGGTTCTTCACAACAATGTGGGGAATCTGCGATTTAATCTGAACCGCTTCTCTGGAAAGCTGCGCGAAGATCTCCTTACAGAGCAAAACGTTCTGAGCCGCCTCCAGCTTGATGTGCCACGGCTGCGCTCCTGAGGAACGACGAAGGAGGCGGGCGTCAAAAAAAGGCAGAAATACATTTTTATTTGGTTTTTTTTTAGGAGCTGCTTGAAGAACCAGACCTGCTTTGTTTTTCTGAGGTCTCCTAAACAGGTTGACGGTTCCAAGGTCACCGATGTCTGGTGCTTGTTTCTGGATGGACACCTGAAGACAAACGTCGGCTTTTCTTTATTTCATTTCCAACGATATTCACCATTTAAAATCCAATCATACTGGAGGATCAGAACAAACCTTGATATAAGCAGATCCTTCTAGGTCACTTGGAATCTGGACATCCAAGGGACAGTAGTCCTCTGGGAGCTTTTTGTCCAGATCAATGTCAGTGTTTTTGATCACCTCGAATGTGCCGGGGTGAGGAAAAAGGGAACCTGCATGATTTCATTATATGGTAGAAAATTAACAACAATTTTTGCTCTAAGTGAATTAAGTACAGTAATGTTTCTGAACTTTTCCTCACCTGCACTCCGGTAGCTGAGGTCTCCCAGGATCTTGTCTCCAACTTTGCGAAGTTTCCACTGAGATCGGAGTCGCAGCAGCTCAGAGTTGAAGTCGCGCTGCCTCCGGTTCTCCTGGTTCTCGGCCACCGACTTGCTGAGCTTCTCGGCTCCTTTCAGGAGGAGCTGTGCCGCTGTGGCCAGCGATTTCTTTTTGCTGATCAGCTGAAACACCTGCTGCGTCTGCGGGTGGAACATCAGAGGAAACCAGTGAGAAACCTGAAGCTTTTATAGTAATCAGAGGAATCAGATCTGGACCGGAACACAGGCTGTACTGAAAGCGATACTCTTAGCTGTCGAGTATCAATAAGGTGCTTAAAGGGAAGTTAGAGAAAATGTAAGGAGGTAAATGGAAATTGTGTTTTTCACGCAGCTGCACAGGATTAAGAAAACAAACATTCTCATAACTCAGGTCTTTATCAACTTTATTATTTATTTAAAGGTATAGAGGACAATCTTTTATTTTCCGGGTGGATCATTTAAATAAGTGGTCCTCCTAATTGTCAATCATTCTGGTGATATTTTTAGATAAGGTCTTCCTACGTGCTTGTCCTGTTAGCTATCTTTTTCTGCGCTTTTTCTTTTTTGGCGTATATGTGTGATAAGCTTCGGTTTCATCCAGTCATTGAAGCTCACCTTTCTCACTGCAGTTCTTTGAAAATGGCTGAGGGTCGTAAGAGAAAAAGTGTCTACGAAGTGTATGAGAAGAAATTATTTCAATGTTTGTTGTTTTGCTCCAATTATGTCTGTGTTTTTCTTTTCGCTGTGACATAATTCCCCCCCCTGGACATAATAAAGGTTCTTCATCTTGAACACATTGTTATATTATTAATTGATGTAGGAGCATTTCTGCATCGACAGACTGAAGCAGCTCCTCAGTCTAAAGACGTTTACTGAGAGTCGTTAGCAGCTTACTTTGCCGGCGGTTGGATCATGAGACACCGGATCTAAGGCCATGTACTTCTTCTCCTTCACCACGCTCAGGACGTCATGGAGAACACACATCTCTGTCAGGGCGCCGCGCAGATTGTTCCGTACCGAGTCCCAGGGCCAAAGAGACGGCTGGAACTTGACTGTTCCTGGAAAAAAAGAAAGAAAAAAACAACATTCAGCTTTTTTTGGTGCAATTTATATTCAGTTTGAGCTATGGGGTGAATTTTGTTCATTTATTGTTACCAGCAAAGAACACATTTTGTAAATTAAAATTTAAAAAGAAAGAAAAAAACAACATTCAGCTTTTTTTGGTGCAATTTATATTCAGTTTGAGCTATGGGGTGAATTTTGTTCATTTATTGTTACCAGCAAAGAACACATTTTGTAAATTAAAATTTAAAAAGAAAGAAAAAAACAACATTCAGCTTTTTT